AAACCTGTTTTTAGATGAATGTTGAATAAATAAGTTCAGGTTTAATGTTTTCAGTTTTTGTAGATCAGGATCTTCTTATTAAACAAAACCTGAATGTGTGACTCCTGTACGTCTCTGTTTCTGAAGCATCATAAAATAAACATGGGCTGATGCTATTTTTAGTCGTCCCTGCTGCTGCTCTGTCGCCGTTGTTCCTTGACCCATCGCTCCTCTCAGACATGGCACGAGTCTACAACTGGGACGTGAAGAGAAGGAGCAGAGAAAACCTCAAATCAGCCGAGAGCAAGTCTTAATATCCAGCGGGATCCCCTTCTGCTAACATCTCTCCTCGGTCAATTATGAGAAAAAAAAACAAACCCCGTCCCCCAAATAATCATCCATGTATGTTCGCCCCAGAGCTTGGCACATAGAGGGCACGTTTGAAACATCTCCAGAAGTGATTTGAACTCATGGAGGTTGTGTTGAAGGAATCGAGCGCGCCTCGTGATTCTGCGCTGGGTTGTCAGCGTGCCCTCTATCCGGCCGAGCTCACACTTCCACCACTACTGTTTTCTGTTGATTTGTTACTTTTTAAAGTATTTTTTCAAGTAAAAACTAACAAAAAAACAAAGGCAACGAGGCAATTTTTGTATTCTTTTTAATGATTTGAGTATGTTCCTGTTGTTTTGTTTTGTTGTTTTGTTTCTTGGCAGATTATCAGTGAGGGTTCTCTTGCATCGTCTTTTCCTCTCTGCGTTTTCCCTCCTTGCTGACGTGAAGCGTCTGTTTCTCATCAGCACTTTCACATCCATGTGGGACTTTTAGTTGAGTTATTGTAAAAACGCAGTTGCCGACACACAGAGTAGAATCTGGCTCGTAGGGTGATGTACATCTCAACAGAAGACGTTTTGCCTTGTGGCTTCAGTTTCCACTTACCGCGGGACTTTTCCCAGTTCAGAGGGATCAACTGTCGTCCTGCTTCACACCTGCTGCTCCTCCTCCTCCTCCTCCTCCGTCCTTCGACCTCCCACGCTCGACCATCTCCTCCTCGCCTCTGTCTCTTCCTCCTCTTCCCCCTTTTCTTGCCGCTGTTCTGTCTGTATTTATTTGTCTCTCACTGTACTCATTAAACAATGAATGAAGTAAAAGAAGAACACTTGGGCAAAGAGACGAGACCTTGACCTGGTGCTGTGTGTCGTTTGTTCTCTGACGAGGAGGTGAAAGAAACTCGGTTAGATGCAACATATGAAGTAGAGAAATGGTCCTCAAGTGCAACACCGTGTCGGGGAAGTAGTTATTATGCATTTCATTCATTTATATCCAAAGCAAGTATGTTAGAAAGTTGATTATGAAAATTAAACCTATTTTTAACTTTGTTTATTGGTGGATGAACACATTAATTTGTAAAGATTTTTTTACGTCACTCAGTGAAATGCTTTGTAGTTTAAATAGGTGATAGTGGGTTTATTAATTGGTGAATTCTTGTCTTATTGTGCGGTTAGATGCTACTAATTACTTCCATGACAACGACTTCATTTTTTTCTATTAAAGGTGCAGTCTGAGATTCTGGTAGATGTTTAGATACTTGTGTCATGCTGTCGGATTAGAGTCGCTGACTTTACCTTCTGTAAAATGCTTACAGAGGCAATTTAGTTCATCTATTAATTTCTAAACTTCTTGCTTTATTGTCCAGTTAGATGCCAGATCATGAAATGCTTTTCATTACTTTCTTGCAAACCTCTATTAACCGACTTCATAGTAAGCTGCTGAAATGTTGCATGTGATTCTTTTACTTGGAGTTCTTTTTTTTCCTGAACTTTACCCTCTCGTCCTAAAAATGACTGTTTTCCTTTCACTTGTCTCGTCTTTCCTGCAGATTGTGACTCTGATTGAGACGCTAGGGATCTTTATTTGAAGGTTTTTGCAGTCAACACAACATTTATCGCTGCTCCTCTGACTGATTGTAAGCATATTAGCTGATGGAGAATAACCTGTTAATCAGATTACTTTGGTTCAGTGTAGAAATATATTTTTTCCTGCTGCCTTAAAAAAAAATGAGTTCAATGAACTCAGCTTAGTTGAGCCCTTGAGTCGTGTTTGTTATATTTGTTTTCCACTTACTCTGTTGTAAAGAAGCGCAACAACTACTTCTACATTAACCAGACAAGAGAACAACCACATGTGAAGAAAAAAAACAAAAAGCGGAGGTTTCTTATACCAGTCAGGTTTTATTTTCTTTTCAGTACATGTAGGTTTGCTGATAGATAAGTAGAGGAAGAGAAACTGTCAGCTCTGACCCGGCAGGATTAAGGACAGTGATGTACAGAGCTCCCTGTACAGCACAGAGGGTTGAACAGAACAAGTGAAACATGATATTTGTTGAGCTCTTGTGTGAAGACGGGTTACAGGGAGGGCAGGACAAAGCTGCTGTAATCCAGCAGATACATGCTTTTGAGCTCCAGGTCTGACACTGATGAGATGTTGCCTGTCAGAGAAAGTCCAGCTGAAGGTGAAGCCAGATGACAGCCCACCACGGTCCGCCGTTTATTTCTCCCTCTGTCTTGCTTTAAACTATGCGTCTGTGTGTAAAGTCAACGAAAAGGATCATTTGTCAAGTCTGGTTTGTGCAATTTGCTTCAAATATTCAGACTAATAAAACCTCCTATTTCCAATATCTCAGTCAAATTGTACCTGGTTCAGTTTGACCAGCTCAGTAGAAAACATGAAGACGACCTCATCGACCAGAAATGTCCCCAAACTAAGAACTTCTTCATTCATGTGTTCATTCGCTTTCTTGCAGATCGCTATGTTTGTGTGTTCGATGTGAACACACAGGCAGGAGCAGTTAAGCTGAGTGAAGCACCAGGTTAGCTGTTTTCAGTGTTTATGCTAAGCTAACTAGCTGTAGCTACATCTTACATGTTAGCTCCAGTATGTGCCATGCATGTATCAGCATAAGAATTATATTTCCTTTTGCTGCAGATAGCAGCTTTTTTCATCACATTTCATAGAGCTGCAGATGGTTTGAAAACTTTCTGAGGATCCTGGTAATATCTTTTCAACAGTGATACATCTCATCGTCTAATCCATTAATCGGTTTTCTTTGATTCCAGCTTCTTAAATTTAAATATTTTCTGTTTTCTTTCCTCCATCATGATCATAAACTAAATATTTTTAGGCTGCAGACAAAACAGACATGTGAGGGGTCGTCTTGGGAAACACTAATCAACATGTCTCACAGTTTTCTGACATTTTATAGACCAAACAGCTAATAAACTAAAGATTAATTGATCATGAAGATAACGGTTTGTTGCAGCCCTCATTCACCAGCTGTGTGGGTTTTCCAAGTTACTTTTCAGAGGACTGTATGCTCAGCTCTGCAACGCAAATGTAAAGATAAAACATGAGAAGCACAAACTTGGGTCGAATCTTAACGGCAATGATGCTGCTGCAGCTTAGCTTAGCATAACAAACACAAACAGGTGAGTGCTGTCCAAAGGTAGTAAATCTGCCTACCAGCTCCTCTAAAGCTCAAAGTAGCTGCTCACAGTCTGGCAGTAGTCCAGCACCAACCCTCCATGAAGCCGCTTGTCCTTTACGTTTTGGTTTTGTGTGGAGATAAATGAGGGGAACAGGGATGACAGTGGTCTGGATCTTTTCATTTCACTCTCATCTCAGGAAAGTGAATTAGTGGATTCACCAAAATGTCAAACTATTGTTTTAAACATGGTAGAGAAAGACTCAGGACAAAACTCTGTTCCAGTTTGTGCAGCTGTGTTGGTAGCAACCATAGTGAGGCAGCAGCGTTTTGTATTCAGTGTGTGAGAGCAGCCTCAGTGAAACCAAACGCTGCCAAGGTTCTGCAGAGAGCTACTGAAGCACGTTCCCTCTGGAAATCAGCCAAAAAGCAGATTGCTTTGCTGTCAGACATGAAACTGCTTTCCATCATATAAACGACTTCCTTCAAAGTCCCCTTCCTTGATCACTTCACGTGTCCTGGGGCGACTTTGTCAGCGTCTCCGAATGTTCGAATCTTTGTTTGCACCCAGCCGAGCCTCAGATCGATAAAAGACGGAAGCGGTTTGTGTGGCAAGAAAGAAAAGGAGAAAAAAAAAACTGACAGAGTCGGCTGCAAATTCAGCCAAAAGTGTGTTTCAAGTTCAGTCATGTCACGTGACTTACTGAAGACTCTGCATGAGAGTTGGAGAAGGAAACTAACTGAGTTCACTCACAGGCTGCAGTTCCAATGAAGACATTAAGAGCAGCTTCAGCAGCTGACTGGGCTTCTTGGCCTCTCAGATGAGACCTTAGTGTCTAATTGCTGGCTGCCTGTTTCACACTGAAATGTGTTTTACTGGAATCAAGTTACTGCCGTCGAAGCATCTTCAGGACGAGACCTGACTTGGCAAATTTACTCTAGTCTTTTTTTTTTTGTAGTTTTTCTCTCTTTTTTGGTCTAAATCAGACATTTTTGATCAATTGGAGCCCGAAATAGAGAGATAAGATGTGTTTGTGCTGGCATGAGTTTATCACACATTTTGCAGATGCAGTGTTTTTAAAAACGTTAAACTTCATCTTGCAGCACTTTCAAAGCTGCATAAGGCCACCAGGCTCTCAAATGAAAGTGGAAAACTGACTGACAAAACCAAGACTTCAACAGGTCGTCAAAGATCAACTTCACAGCTCGAGTTTAAGCTTTGTGACATTTTTAGAAAGAAATGTTTATCCAGTCTAAGAAGTGTGAATTTTCTCAACTAATGACTGATATTGATTCTCTCTGGACGTGCTTTGTTTGTACAGAACCTCCTTTGTGTTTGTGTTAAATTCTAAAACCTGTTGTCTTTCCCAAAATATGCTTTTAGTCCCACATTTGTGTCACTTTGTGCATTTGGCCAGCATATTTTAGTTAACACCTTTTAAAATATATAAAATGTGAACGCAGACATTAAAGGAAGCCGAAGAAATGATTGATAGGGAACAAAAGAGAACTGCAAGTAAGCACAAATTTCCAAGAAAGTAAATTCATGATATTTTAGATGTAGTTTATTGGAGCTACTTAAAGTAACAGTTTGACATTTTGGAAAATTCGCTGTCTTGCAAAGAGTTAGATGAGACGATCAATACCAAACCTGCAGCGCTTCCTTAAATACGCGATGAAGTGAAATAGATTTACTACACTTGTGTGGAATGTGTTTTCCTAGCGGACTAGAAAATGGTAAAACTAAAACGAACCACATATTTGTGACGTTCATGGCCGTCTTTGTGCATCTACAAAAAAATGTTACAGCAAAATGTGGAAACTATCAGACAGTGTCATAATATTTAAGGCAAGTGCTGCTTAAAACAATCTTATCCGAGATGACACGTTTCCCCAAATCTGTAGTTTATGAATATTTAGACTTAGTAGACGTTTGTTCTGTTTTAAAAATGGGGCAGAGCAAATTAGACCGGAGCAGCCTAATGGGAAACACTTCAGCTTAGCATGAAGACTAGAAATTAATAAAAACAACTAGCCAAGATAAGTGTGGATTATTGAGCTTTATTCGGTGTTCTGGATCCCTGTTTCCAGACTGTATGCTAAGCTAAGCTAACAGGCTGCTGTGTGTGTGAGCGTGGTACCGAGCTTCTCATCCAACCCTCGGCTAGAGAGCAAGTACCTTTCCCAATGCGCTTCATGCTTTAAGACAGTATTTCAGAGTAGAGGTAATATAAACCAGAGTGCTGTACAGCTGTGCAGGTCTACCAGCTGTGTGACATCTGGTGAGAGAGGCTCGGCGGCCCATCGGGGGGCGCTGCAACCCACAGCAGATTTCAACCACAGTCACCCACACACACCTTCTGAGCTCCGCGGCGGCGTCCACTGGGGAACGCTCAGCAGAGAGTGTTAGTCATGATACAGCAAAGCAGTGGAAGGAAAACAGATTTTAAAGCGGTCGTGGGATAAAACATATTGTCAGATTTCAAAAACACAAGGGCGTCAGGGAGAGCTCAGGCTGCTTTGTTGTTTTTTTTTTTTTTATTCCTGGAAGGACTTTTGAAGATCGATCTTTTCTGTCTGGCAACAGCGTTTCACTCACTTCAATAAGGATTAATGCAGTGTGTATAGCTGTGGAAATGGAGCATTATAACGAGAATCATTTCCACTCGAGCCGTGTAGATCACCCTTTTGCTTTCTCATTCACACACTTCAACTCGTAGCGTAAAATCCTCATCGACTCCCTCACTGATACATTCATGTAGAAAACAGAACGACACACACACACAAAAAGGTCTTTGGAAACACAGAAAAAGAAGGCATACAGTGTGTGAAAATGAAGCAGTATCCTCAGCAGCCTACAGAGGACTGTAACGTTTAATAATCTAAAACATAAATAGTCTGTGCCGTGATCAGTAACCGTAGTGGGAATGATAAGGATAAAATCTTGCTATCCTTCCTACATCTACAGCAGTATCCCAGTCAGACGAAAGAAAGTCTTCATATTAAGAGGGAGGAGAAAACACAGAAAGGGAGTTCTGCAGAATAAAATGTATAGATAAGTAGTTGCACGTGTACTTTAAGGTACATTTAATTCCTAACAATGCTATGGGTCTCCTCCTGATTCTGCTCCACGTTTAAATGACAATTATTTATTCATTTGTAGCACGTACAGCCAAATACATCGGTCAGGGTGAGCAGATTATGACATTTGGTCCAGTGTTTATTTCATGAGAATATGTAGTTATTTACTGGTGTTACACAAACGGCAAACGAGTCATCTGCCAAGTTCTGATGTTTCTTGATCTTTCACTGTCTTAGTTGTGTTATTCTGGCATTTAGAGGAGGACCAGCAACTGCCTGAATTAATAATGAGAAAAGTATAAAGCAACAGGACATTTAGGATGAGAATGCAGATCCATGAGGCTACAGCTAGTTAGCTTAGCTTAGCTTAGCTTAGCATAAAGACTGATGGGTGGACACACAGCCGGCTTTGTGGCAGTAGCTCCATATTTACTGTACAGACATGAGAGCGGCATCTGTCTCCTCGTTAAGCTCTCCACAAGAAAAATAAATAAAGTGTCATGCAGAAATCTGTAGTTTAATCGGTCCAGTGTTCTAGTAGGTAACGATATCTGCACCAGTTGGGCGATATATGGTTGAAAATTGGGGGTTTTACATCTAGGCTACATAAGAACACATTTCACCAGCATTATAATCGCTATATTTTCACTTTTTCTCTTGAAATATTGCCAATGAAATTACGTTACCTCAACCAAATTTAAACCAGTTTTGACCTGCATGTCCGCTTTCATGGCCGCCTTACACAGTTAGACTCAAGTAATCATGGTGGTTACAGCCACCTGTAGCATAAAAACATCAAAAAATAAAAGTTTGATGTGATATGACACTTGCACACATATTAAAAAAGGCATGTAAACTACTCGCTCTGAACAAAACGTAACCTTGTTGAGTCCCCTGCGCCTGTATCTGTGTTGGGTTGACTGGGTTGCCAATTGGACCTTCTTCACGTGGTTGTAATGGGCAAGAGTTCTGACTGTCCTATGCGTGCACTGTGAGTAATGTGGTTCTTTTGTGAAGTCTGTTCATCAAGTTTCCCTCTGTGTTTGTTTTGCCTTCGAGAAATCCCCAGTTTGCTTATTTGCACTCTTCAAATGTCCCAAATGAGGCTCCGCAGTTAAGAAGGACTTGGCTATTAAGGTGCTTTCAGGCTCTGACATTCCTATTAATCCACCTTAACGGGTGTCCAGTGGAAGGCAGAAAATTAAGAGTTCTTACACTACGTCGCCTTGGTCAGTTAAGCTGTACACGTTGTCTCTTCCTGCTTTAGGTGAACTGGATTGGTGATGGTGTTTTGTTATAGTGCGTTATTTAGCAGAATGGTAGTGGATGTTACCATGTGGTCAATGTCATTGAGCTCACTGGAGGCCTAAATTGCTCCAAAGAGAAATAAGGTGGACACAGAAACTGTTCTTCCAACGTTATATTTAGGACCTCCAGGACTCCTCCATTGAGCCCTGATGGTGGAATGTGGAGCAAGACGTCAGCACAATAGACTCTAACGAGGAAGGTTTAATCTAAGTGTGCTGACTTTTTAGAATGAATTCTTCTGGGAGGATGTTGGACGCCAACGTAAAAGTGATCGCTTTCTATGTGATCATGTAATTGCATATTGAGAGGAGAGGGTTGGTGGAGGAAGAGGTGACGGAGGACATGATGGGAGAAAGGAAGAGGAAACAGGTCAAGAGCGGGTTTTGACAAAGAACCAAAATGGATCCTCTTTCTAAGGCCTTTGTAAGACTTTCAGGGAGGGACTTTCAGGAGAAAAACCTAAAGGAATTCAATCATGGGAACCCCCAGAGGAACATCTGTGATCCTTCCCCTCAGAAATGGGCACAACCCTTTCAGCCATCCGCCCACGTCCAAGGTGTTCTTCTCCACCTTCTCCCTGCCTTTTTCATTGAAATTCCTCCAACATCCCATTCTGTATCCAGTCTGAAAAAAGAACAACAGAGGGTCACCAGCAGTTTCAGTCAGAGGGCCGACGCCTCAGTCCGTCAGCCGCTCCCCTCTGAATCCTTCGCTTCCTTTAAAACCTTCAGTCCCGTCGTTCAGAACTCTTCCCAGATCAACAGAGACAGCGGCGGTCACTCTTGGTCACCTCCTCCGACGAGTGGACCACGTTGGGCACAAACCCGCTCTTCACGCCCTCCCAGCCCTCCTGGATTGTGATGTCGCCAGAACGCACCAAGGCGAAGATGTCTCTGGTCAGCTCGGTGAAGGCGTGCTCCACGTTGATGGCATCGCGGGCCGACGTCTCGACGTAGCGCATCCCGTACGCCCCCGCCAGCTTCTCTGCCTCTTGACGGGTCACCTACGAGATCAAATGAGCTGTGTTAAATCTTGCGCTATCCACAGGTCATTAAGCGTCACAGAAGACTTTGTGATGGTGGCCTTTTACTAGCTTAACCCCCACAGTGCCCTATGCTAGCCAACATGGAACTGCCTGGTCAGAGGATCCACCCAGTGGTACAACCAGGTACTGCAGCTAACAGCTGGTACAACTGGTAGCTTGAGTTGCAGCTAGGACTGAGGACAAGTCAAAATGAAAACACATAAGTGACTTTAGGCTTGTCAGTAATGTTATTGTTGTTTTGTACCAAGACAATTAGGGCCAAACACCTGCACTTTACAATCTACATGCAAAATGCTAAGATAGAAAATATGATCATGTTGCCTCCACAGTTGCTAAATAGCGTCTCTGCTCCTGAAATGTGCGTACACGAGACAGACTGCACACTCACTGTTAATGATCATTTGGTGTTGCTGCTGAGCCACATTAGACTGAACAAAAACACCAAATCATCTGCACTGAGTGGCACCACTTACAGATTTGAGATGCAACTCAGTCGCTGCTAAATTATCCTTCGAGTACAACATTAAATGATGAGAGTAAGCAGCACGTAAAGATCACAATGAAGTGGCAAAGGCAGGAAATCTTACATAATCTTCCTGGTTCATTTGATTTCAGTCCTGCTGTTAGAATATTGTACTACACGAGTGCAGACACGCAGTTGCGCATTTTGCAGTGTCATCCTGTACAGTCTAATTTTCAATGGGTGGTATTTTTGCTCTCTGTCAGCCAGCTCCCCAAAGAGAATTAAACCGAGAGTGACGGCTCAGTGTGCTGATCTAAATGTGAACAAAAGGTTATTTTTAAAACTGCAGACTTTGATAAATTGCATAACATTCAAGAGAGACCGTTTCCTTCTCCAACAAATCTTCACTCAACCCAACCTCATGAGGAATTCGTGTCCACGCTTGGATCCGGTTTTTCTGCTGTTCGTACCTGACGCTGTGCCTCCAGGTCGCACTTGTGGCCCACCAATAGGAAGACGATGCTGTGTGGCTGGACGTGGCTGCGAGCCTCCTCCAGCCAATCGTGGACGTTCTGGAAGGAGCGGCGGTTGGTGATGTCGAAGAGGAGGAGCCCGCCCACAGAGTTACGGTAATAAGCCCTGGTAATGGACCTGGAGGGGTCGAACAATGGAGGAAGAGATTTGGATTAATACCATTTGAGTACTGACAGGGTTTTGACCACTGGTGGCGCTATGGAGCAGAGTTTTCATGAGCTGATCCAGACACATCAGTAAGGAACCACTTAAAGAAACCCAAATAGAAACTTACGCTAGAAACTATAATTCATTTAGATCAGGATCTGGTGTTGTTAGCCTGAGATAACTGCCCCCAAAGACTTGCCCTTTGAATATAGTAGCATCCTCAGCCGCTAGTTCACAGTCACTAATTTACAGAAAATGGAAAATAAGAGATAAAACCAGAGGGGAAACTAATCTGAGGGATAAACCGATGTGAGGAGGTGTGAAAGAAGGAAAAGAAGTGATGGAGGTGTCAAATTGAGAAGCTGGGGAGTTCATACGCCTAATTACTGTCCATGCAGGGATATCATATCATCAGTATCAGCCTTTAGGAAGCCGCATCAGTTGAGCACAAGTGGTTTGTTTTTACATAACGGCTTCATCGCTGCGGTCCGACTGGGAGGAGAAACGCTGCTGGATTTTGACAAGATGTGACACCTCGCATGCACACAAACACCCACCAACCCCCTCACGATGCGTCTTATCTTCCCACAGTATCCTCACAGCGACGACGGGAACATAAATAACAGGAAGGAAAATTACAGGCTCGAGGTAGAGGCGGGAAGAGAGACGTGCCGTGAAAGAGGAAGAGGGGAGGATTAGTCGACGGGAAGGATGCAGCGGGAGAGGAGGAGTGGATGGAGAAGAAATCTGAGCCGGCGAGTGATTCATTAGGGTTGACACGCATACTTAATATATATTTATGGAAGCAAGGACCACGCAGATGAAACAACGGTGACTAAGAGATGTTCATTGTTGGTGGAACACAGGAGCACAAACAGGCAGCGTCACAGAATCCTAAAATAATTAAACCTTTACGGTTTACATTAGTTTGCGCCACTGAATCATCCCACGTCCAAGATAGATCGACACACAAGTGACAAATCAGTGACAAGTTTAGCTTAAATGCTTGTGTGCTGCATTATGGGACACAGGTTTAAATATAAATCATCAGGTCTGTGTTCCTCCTTCTGTCAACAAAACCTAAAAAAATCAGTTATTGGTCCATCTTTACTGTTTTTAGTCCTCATCTTCAGGCCTATTTGTATCTTCTCGAGATATACATTTTTTAAAAACTAATAACAAATGTGTAGTTTTAGTTTAAAAAAGAAAAATATATCAACTTATTCTTTCATTTTTTTGCAGCGGATGAATACATGAGTAGGGAATTCACTGCAGGATGGTGGATGTTGGATCAAATCAAAATAAACTACCGCCCAGTCTTAATCATAGTGAAGGAGCACGTGAGCCGATGCAGCGATTTTGTTCTAAAAGATTAACGTACACCAGAGAATAAGATTTGATTGCTCGTAGGATCGTTTCATTATTAGTTCTGGTCAATTAATTGGCCTATTTAATGATAAGAAATATTTAAATCAATAATAAAACCAGCAGATTCTTAAAATGTAAGTCAAACTCAAGACGATTTGATATTTCATCTGGAAAATATTAATACAGTTGGAAATCCATCCAGCGTTATAACATTAATCAAACAACTCTTCAGCGCTGCATCAGCTATGAAAGACTTATTTAATTAATAGAAGCAGTTTAGGTTCATTCTTGCCATCTGAGGGTAGGTAAATACAATAATTAAAAATGTAAAGCTAGTAAGTTGACCGCTTAGTGCAGCAGCCAAAGAGAGAAAATGGGATTTTGCATCTTGCGTTCATGTCAAATCATAAAAGTTCAGCCATCAGATACAGTATTCCTTAGATCTTGAATGGGTGAGTTTTTAAGGGGGGACTTGAATGTGTGGAGGTCAGAGCAATGTGGGATGGGAGATGGAGAGGAGCTGCAGAGGGTGGGAGCAGCAGCAGAAAAGGCTCTGCCCCCCCTCAGGTTTTGAGTTTTGCTTGATTTGCTTCCCACCACATTAAAACATGAGGTAAGCAGCAGCTACTAACGATGTAGTAATTAGTGTCAGTGTGTAAAAACAAAACACCTCAAGCCAGATTGATGTCTCCAGAAGATGAAACTTTATTTTATGAAACCAGGTCATTGGAGAAGCTCGTTTCAGAATCGGCTGATTTAGTGGAAACGTTCACGATAACACGGAGGTCGAGTGAGTCAGAGGAAAATGACTGGACCGCAGAGGAATTCCAAAGAAACACTCAGACCAGTCTTCAGATTGGCCTTTTGGTTGTTTTGCATTCAGACTGAAGAAGGTTTGATTCGTCCTTCGGCCTCGGAGGGACTGTAGTCACAGTTGCCATGGAGACAGTGATGGCGCTGACAGGTGAGGCCCACCCCTTCTGTCACGACGATGAGCTGTCTGTGTGTGTGCACGCATGTGTGAAAACACACTTTAGCCTGTACATGATTATTCTGGCTATATTTTACCCTCCGAGGGCTGCGGGGTCTGTTCTGCTCTGACGGGGGAATAATTGCTTTCTCACCATCAGTCATGCTGATTGTAGTCGAGTTTAAGAGACGATGTGAAACAATTTGAAACTGATGCACATGAGAAAAGTGTAGAGCATGTTAAATATGACAACCATGTAATAAACAGTGGGAATAAAACACTGGGTTTAATGGTCTTTAAGGTGATGTATTAGTGGAGCACGCTGGGGTAATACTGTACCTTTACAATACAGAGCTAGTGCTGGTAAAAGTGGGAATAAATAAGAGGATAACAGTCTGTAATAAACAATGGAGGTAATAACAGACCTGCCTGCTATTACCTTAGCATTACCCTGTTGTTAGGACATGATGCTGCTGCTTAGCTAATGTGTTAATGTGGTGAGTATTTCGGTGCCGTGTTTGTTAAACAAGTCAAGCAAAAGCACCTTCATGACCTTTAATGTGGACGGAGAAAACTCTGAACAAGCTTCCATGCTTGACAAGTAACACATATGACAAGATCAGCAGTAAATCAAAGTAGTTAAATCATAATTACTCTTAAATTACGCTCTTATATATACAGTCGTCCTCAAATGTATTCACACACTTCTATTAAAGAAAAGGCAAAATTCACAATAGTCACTGAAATAACTAGAAACTGAAAAAAGTAATAATAAATAAAAATATGATAAATTATAAACTAGTGAAACAAGACATTGCTTTTGAATTGTGGTTGAAAAGAATAATTTAAAAAAACAAAACTGTCCTGGACAAATTAGAGCCCTTTTGCTGATGAGCAGTGAAATCAGGACACCTGTCAACAGGTGCAGAAGTCTGACTGAGAGTTACAGTTTTTTTTTATTCTTATATTTCTGTTGAACCACAATTCAAAAGCAATGTCATGATTTTTATTAAATCTTTTATTATTACTTTTGTCAATTTCAACTTATTTCAGCTGTTTTTTCCTTCTCTAATGGGAGGCTGTGAATACATTTGAGGACGACTGTATTCTATGTTATGCTGCAATAACCGTGTTTTATATATATTATTATAATATATATCCTGATTTCAGAAACCTGGATAACCCTTATCCTGGTTTTGAAAAAGCCAGTCATCCTTCTCTCTCCTACACTTACAGAAAGACTCATTTACTTTCCCTTATTGCTCCAACAGTCAGATGCTTTTGCTGCCATTTTTATTTTTTCTTTTGTTCCTGAAATCAGATCAGAACCTCAGAATGCTGACGTTACACTAACACCACTTAAAATGACCGTCCCTCGTTTGACCTTAAGGCAGTTTACGTTAGAGTCAGAATCGGCTGTTCATGCTGTCATAACTGGAAAATCAGGAGCTTCTCTGGTCATTATCTGCACTTGTATCCCCTCAACCTTCTTCTCAATAACCGTACAGTCAAATAAATTTAAAGCAGTCATTCAAGTTTTCTTCTTAGTGTTATCTAACATCAACTAGTTTCCTCATTTTAATCTGTTAATAAGATGTTTCCTCTTCGTACCTTTCAGTAATTTATGAATCTCTCCATGAAAAGTTTCCCAAGAGGTCAGAGGTCAGGTGCAGGTCTTTCTATCTCTGTTCTGTAAAAGCAGTTGTTCTGTTTTTCAGTTAAATATACATGAATACGCTGAAACCTTTCACTCTGGATGGCTGTTTCAGTTTCCAGATGAATAAGAATTTAAACCCCACGTTCCTCATGCTCCGTGTGGAGGACTGACGGTGGTCAGCAACAGAGATCTTTTCATTGACTTTTCTGCTTGCGTAATTTGAGTTTTTCTGTCATTCGTCGGTCAGCTGCTCTTGGTGGACACCCAGTTTCTTCCCATTTGGCTATTTCCAAATAATCAGCTGTTCCAGAAACCTAAACAACTCCCACTGTGCTGCCCTGATCTTTAACCGGGACGGACAGATACAAGGTGGAGCTGAAACATACTTTCAACATCGTTTCGCTGCCATGTTGTCTGGGATGTGATTTGAAAAGGTTTCAGAGTGAAACACGTGGAATCAGTAAATAAAACGTTTGATGTTAGCTCCCTCCAGCAGCTCCAGCGCTGATCACTGCTGCACAATGCATCACGGATCACATCGTCAGACTTGTGTGATGTAACTTAAAATGCATTTTTTTAATCTGTGAGTATCAGAATGCTTCTATCACCTCCTCTAATAGGAAACAAATGCCATAAATTAGCACTGTGGTCACTGATGGTACATTAGTGGTAAAAGCCACCAGGGAATCTGGAGAAGCTCACTGCAGCCATAATATTCCCTGTAAAGCTCTGAAAACGCCCCTCGCGACCGTCGGGCCCGGCGTCTCACCTGAAGCGCTCCTGCCCCGCCGTGTCCCAGATCTGCAGCTTGATGCGCTTCCCCGGCTCGATCTCCACCAGCCGGGAGAAGAAGTCCACGCCGACGGTGGGGTCGGACACCTGGGCGAAGCGGCCCTCCGTGAACCGCCGGATCAGGCAGGACTTGCCCACGGTGGAGTCCCCGATGACGATCAGCCGGAACTGATAGAGCCATATCGCCTCCATGACTTGGCCTTCTGCCCGTCTGTCGCTCTCCCGGCTGTCTGTCTGTCTCTTGTGTGCGCTGCGTAACAGAAAGAGAGGACGACTGTCAGAATATTGATATCAGATGAGTGTGTTTTTGGCTGCTTGTTGTTTGTAGCTGCAGCATGTCCGGATCAATCATCTGTGACAAGTTGCCCTTTGCCCCCCTCCTCCACCCCGGTTCACCTTCTGACCCCACCGCCTCCGGCCCTCTGCAGCCGCCTCCCATTAGCCTTCATCAAGTGCAATCAGCACCCTCCTACTAAACGGTAAATGGACGGTAATGCATGGTGAATGTAGCCGTGCTTTACAGGAGCTCAGATGAAAGGATCAGCGCTAACAGTCAACGTTGGCTGCTTGGTTTAGCTTTTTTTTCAGTCCGATACACTTAAACTGCATTCTCAATTAGATTTCGAGGGAAACATGTTTTCTGCAGCGTTATGTTTTGCTTTGAGGTCCCACAAATCAACATGTCAACAATCAGCGCTCCTTTTCAGCCGACTAGTCGTGTATTAGACGGGGTGAGACTCGGGAAGCTTTAAACACGTTGTAAAATGGTTCTGTTTTGATCCAAACTCTACTATTTTCCTACAGCTAAGTGCCAAAACTTAACCAAACTCCTAACAAGTGTCTGGCGTTGTCAAAGTGTCAAACAACTCGTGATATTTTCCTGAACGGAACCAAGCAGCAGGTGAAAGATGTGGTTCTGTTCATCCTGTAATGGGTTCGTGTCGGTCACAGATGGTTGCTCCTCATATCGATCACAGAAATAAACACAAGGCTCCCGTGGATGTTATTTAAAAGGCCAGTCGCAGATGGAGCTGCAGCACCGCGTCTGGATTTCTGGAGAATTTATATCTTCCCACAACGTTTCAACGCCAGCAACAGAAAGCATGTACGGATCAAAGCGACTCGTCCACGATGAGTTCTAACGATGTGGGTGATGGAAAATGTCCATCACAACAATAATTTGTTTTCATTCTCACTTTTTTGAAGCCTTTCTTTCTCCGTCACAGTCTCTGGAAACAGTTTTTCTTTCAAAATGTAAATGAGAATGCAGTTTAGTTGTGCAGGAACGTACATTTGTGGGACATAGTTGGTTTTATTCCACTGCAACTTCGATGTGTTTTGGTTTTGGAAACCATAAGACACCTCACGATGTCACAGTATCACACAAACCAAGAGACAAACCGATGAAGACGATTACACATCATGTGACTATAAAAGCCTCATCACCACATGTCGGTGCACAAAATTAGGTCACAACTCTGGTGCTGTGTTAATCGATGTTTTACTTTAATTATTGAAAATTTCTCTTCAGAGTTCTGCTTCAGAAACACGTACACAGTAAGAATCATCGGCAAAATGTAAAGTAGAAGTAATCTAAGATACCCCAGTGTTTGTTATATTAACACTGATGCATGAGTGTTGAACAGGGAACATACTGAGTCTTCAGCAGTGCAACGTACTTCACAAACTGGTCGTGTGTTTTTATGTGAAATCTTAATCTGTGAAGTAACTAAATGCACCAAAAAGTTTGAGTGGAGTTAAAATATTATTCATTTCCTGTTCAAATCTAGTGAAGAGTAAACAAAGTGGAAATAATCAAGTGCAAATACCTTCAAATGACGTAGAAATCGCAGATATTTTCTTACATAGTAGCCACAGAGTCAGCGCTTACTAACTGTAGATGATTTATTTTATGATTCTGTCGTTGTTGATCTCCTCTTTCATCTCAGGGCGACACTGTTCCCGTTTATTCTTTAAACTCTTTTTGGGAGATTTATGATAATATTTGCACAAATCTACCACTGTAGTCTTTTTCTGCTGCAGCCGAAAAGTCACAGAGAACGACAAACTTTGAACATATTCCTGGATTTCTCCGATTTACTTCCTGAAATCTAACCTTTGCCCACACGTCTCCGTTCACACATGCGGCCGGCTCACTGCGCCGCATTGTGTTCAGTGCGTGATTCAATTAAAAGCACGAGGTGCACGAGAAAAGCCTCTTAAGGTTTTCGAGTCACTTGATGGCGTCAGTTGATGTTTTAATAAAAGCCTGCTCTTTGGGTTTTGGCCGCAGCTTAATGCCTTTTTTTGATACGAGGCTTTGGCATCTGAATGTGCGACCTCCCAAATAATTAGAGCTGACGGGCTGGATTTTATGGACCACAGCAACATTTAGTGCTTTCATTTAATAGTGAAAGGTAACCAAGTTCATTTACTTCAGTCTTGTAGCTAAAGGTAACACCTAAAGTACTATGTTCATGTTAGTTTATACTTTTACTCCAACACCAGTCAATATATTGAACTTTTTGCTGATCCACATTTACTAAATTGTGTTTAGTTAGCTCTGCTAGCTCCTGCTAGCTTTACCTGAAACAGATAAGACAGTCATATAAAGCTCCAACACTGAAGAATCTGGGTGTAAATATCTAATAGTCAACATGGAGTCATTCTGCACATCTGCAATTGTTTTTAAATTTTAAAATAAAAAATCTCAGTTCTTCTTCCACCACTGGGTGACACACGTTTTCTTACATAATAGCACAACACAAAAGTAATACCACATAAATAACTCATTTAGTCACATTTGTTCACTCAAAACTCTCTTAATAGTTCATATTTAGATGAAAAACATTCATCTTTAATCCCATTTGTTGCCTGTATGTCCAAACAGTGCCTTATAATATTCATTAGAGGCCTTTATAAAGATCTGAATGAGGATATATTTTGCTGATAGTTTTACACATAGATGCTTCTTTCTCTGCTGGTTTGAGCACAGTGATCATGTCTTTACTTAAATCAAAGGATAAACTAGCTTTGGGAAGGAAATCGCTGACTTTTATCAACATTTTTGGTGAACTCTGCAGCTGGACAGAGTCTAAGTAGTGAAGATGGTCTTTATTACACAATAAAAAGACGTTAAATACTGTTGCAACACCTGGAAACACACACGACGCTGTTTTAATCGAGTCAGTGGGCCAAGACTACACTGTAAAAGATTAACTGGCCTTTGCAAAAAAAAATTAAATATTTAGGGAGTTATTACAGTGTTTTTTTTCTCTTTTCTTAAATTTCAGATAACTCGTATTGTAATAACTTGTAAATTCACTGAACAAAAGTATTAATTTGCACATTAACTGTAAAAAACACCCTAAAACTGTACGCAACGTCTAACATCAGTATTTTCGCAAATAGTCATTTGTTCTTAAACAATGTGTGCCTGTAAAATTACACAGTTTGACTGAATTTAAATCAGCTAAAAATATACATTTTAAACAACAGTGTTCCTCCATTTTTTAACCTTTTTTTTGAACAGTGTAACCTTATGAAATTGTTCTAACCCTAATTCTGAACTGATGAGATGTTTCACATCACAGAAAATCCTGCATGTCTTTGTTGTTGGGCTTTTAAAGCATGATTACATTCACTCAGTTTTCTTCTGCTCTGCCTCTGTGATGGCTGTTGACTCTCCTTCATACTCACTAAGTCTTTGTATATATTATTAAACACTACATATGTTCTTAGCGTTTGCTTTAACAAGGAGTGGGACCCTCAAAACGTTCACTGTGTCAGTGCATGACAACACATTTGCTCCTGCACATTGTGGACAAAGTATAAAAACACTATTATTCTTATCTTATGCACATTTTTGCAGAAAAATGTGCAAACTAAACACAAGTCACAGATAAGAATCACCACTGCAGTGCTTTCAGTGACAAGAAAAAAGAGGTTAAAGCCCATCGCAACAGATTTAGTTGATTTGCTGCCTGTTCCGATGACAAGCCTCCTACATGCTGTGATGTGTGTGATTTACTCCAGTATTCAGGAAAGTCTTCTTTATATCTTTCCAGCTATTCTCGACCAGGCCATCACCAGGCGGGCACGGAGCCAGACACATGCAGCTCCCATCACCCCCTGCGCGCCTCCACAGGGTCGGGTTGCGTAGCTCGGTCGGTATGCAAACATTAGTGGCTGAATCCCCGGTGAATAGCAGCCTCCTGGGCGCTCACCGCGGACAGACAGCCGCGGATCATGTATCCAACATGTACAGATGGCTGCAGCTGCAACACTGACGCCAGATCAGCATGTGTGGGCTGTTGTTCTCTGGACTTGTTCGGTTTTTTTCCTCTTGTTTGAGGTGTTTTTCTCAGTAGCTTTCACTATAATGAATTATTGTGGGAAGAAGTATTTGACTATTGTGCAGTTTATCAAGCCATTATTGTTGAGTCCACATTCCTCCAAAGCGATTATTCTAGCGAGTATGAAGATTAACTGGTTTTACGCACGGTCCAGATGGACAGGCCTGCTCCTAAAGATGTCTCATAGCGAGTTTCCATCGCAGCCTTTCACTAAACGAGCGCACATCGTGACTGAAAATAGTCCCGCTGTGATTTCTTGAACCGCTTTTAAGCAGAAGCACAGATTGTAAATAGTGAAAATGAGCCTACTTGGAGGAGGAGTGGAGTCCACTTCAGGCCAGAACGGTCGCTCCTCACGCTGTTCAGGAGCAGGCTGATGTGGGCTCCATGGCACCGACAGGTCCGGCTGGATCGATGCTCAGGGCGCAGCAGGGCGGCCGACAACAGCCACCAAAGCCTGCAGGAGTCGACGTTTCCCCCCGAAGCTCGACGGCAGCGGCTGGTGTGCAGCTCGGGCCCTGCAGTCAGGGCTGATTTCCTCCTTAATGTCAGGCCCGATCGAGACCTGAAAGAAAAAAGCGCATCCAGAGCAGGTGCAGTGAGAAAAAGCGGATCCTGCGCTCTGACGCGGAACCACAAATGAAAGCACGACGCGGCCTCAGTTCTCTGTTTCCTTTATGAGAGCAGGATGCTGGCTGTCAGAGGGGAATCCCGCCGGATCATTTCTGTGTTTGCTGAGTGTTTGTAGGGGTTCGCTGCTGATGAAATGGCAGCAGTAGCAGCAGCATCATATAGCCTGACTCATCCCGCATCAGTACCACTACCGTAAAGCAGCGTGTAGAGGCGCAACAGCAGGACAGGCCGTCATGGTGAACACTTCTTAGAAAGATGGACTCAGGAAAGACACTTTCTGAACAGAAAACCGTCCTACTAAATAATAATGTAAGTTTAAAGATAATCAAACAGACCAAAACCTGTATTCTTCTGCGACATGAAGCCCAGAACAGGACGTTCCTTCAGAACAGGACACATATATCATTTATGAAGACACGTGACAGCATCCTAAATATCTTTAAGTCAAACTACAGGACTTAAAGGCAAACCCCTGAGAGAAGAGAAATAACACCCCATACATAAAAAATAACAGTGATCACAATCAAACAGACATAAATATTCGAGTCAATAACTCTTTTAATTTGCATTTTCCAAAATAACATCTATTGTTTTCTTGTAGATCAGTCTTTTCTACAGAGTGATGCCCCAAGAAGGAAGCTGCACACTCACTGCGTGGTCCATGCGCCACTGCGCAGTCACGGAAGTGACACCGGGCGCGCTTCAGCAGGTGGGAGTTGTAGTTTTTACACTAGCAACACCAAGTACAGTGTGTGTGTGTTAAATGGTATAACTCATGCTGTGGTGAGACAGAATCTTTGAACACGGTCAGACTGTGATGCAGATCTGTCATTTGTGCATATTTTTTAAATACACGAAAATGTATTTTTTTTAAATACAAAAATAGGACACTGAATTTGCATGTCTTGCATACAATAAATAAAAATCTGTTAATAAACATAGACTTTGGTGAGTGGTCACAGGAAATACTGATGTTGGGTGGACATGGCGCAGGGTTTCTGGAGAACTTCCTCCTGTGTTTGGGCTCCATCGATGGAAAATGTAAAAAATCTACCAGCGACTACTTCAGTTGCATCTGTTAATGCTGAATCACCAAGACTGAGGTGATGGACTGTCTCCTTGTACAGTCTCTCCTCAGAACAAGCATTTGTTTTAATTTGTTTTGTTGGTGCAGTCAGTGCCCCTGCATTGTGGACATCTGCAGACGGGTTTTTGCAGACTTGAGTGGATCACGCGTACCCTTGAGGTCATCAATTGTCTTTTACGCAGCCTTTATTCCTTCAAATTGGGAGCCGGATGATGGAGAATCTCCTCAGACAGTCTCTCCACAGAACAGTTGATGTGCGAAGTCACCTCACAGACTTTAGTTGATGATGACATTTCTGTCACATTTATCCTTGCAGAGAACAGAAACCCACAACCTGAACTTGGATCTGTTGACTCTCATCCTGAGCGCTACAGACTCTTAACTGCTCCAGTGCTCGATGAAGATCATTACCTGATGAAGCCGACAGAACCGTGTCATCAGTAAAAAGCAGAACTGAGCTTCTCAAACTGGACACCTTCCTCATCTCACTGCATTATTGTTGACATCATCCTCTCTTTAGTCCTCCAGCCTCAGTCTTCTGCAGTAACCTGGTGCAACACTGGAAACACTGTGTGCTCAGTTTGCTGCTGTGGCTCTTTATAGTCTGCTGCTGCTTTATCAAGTCATCTTCAGTGAACGTTATCTTGTTGTTGCATCAGAAAAATTACGCAATACAACAAAAACTAAATCCTCCTCCGTGAAAAGGAGGAAACCTGCAGACATGAGACAGGCAGGCCAGTGTTTCTGTCACTGTGTGCGTCTGACTGCATGCAACAGCATTTAACACACTAATGCTTGACAGACACACACACGCTGACTGCTGGGGGCGTGGTCGTCCGGACAGACAGCTCTGTCAGGACAAACTGCTGACAGGCTTCTCACCGCAGAAGTTTCTCCTCCTCTGTGGCAGCGGATCAAACTGAAGAGAAGCGCGCACAAACCGAAGACCAAACTGATAACAGCACTGCGTTTTGTTTGAAGCTTTGCACCTTTGGCACGGAGCTGCCCGAGACGCGCAAAGAAACTTTCCGTGAACACATGAGCACAAATGCTGGAACTTTAGCGATAATAAAGCGAATGAATTGTTCCTGTGTGGGCTGATTTTGCATCTAAAGACCAAGTAGAAGGTTCGTAGAGACTTTTCGTCATCTTTGTTTTAATATTTACATTTTTAAAATCCACGTTTTGGTTTCAGAAAACATTTGAAACAGTTCTTAAGATGTACGCACAGTGATTGGTTTTCCAAAATATGCTGATTTGTTGAGAAAGTTTTTTTTTTACATTTACACCTGTGTCTCTGTTTTCCAGCTGTTTGCCTCCATGCATGACCTCGGTTCCGCAGCCACTGGTCAAAGCCTCCGCGTTTTGCAGCTCTTTTTCATGCAGAACTCCTAATTGGAGACGTAACTGTGCCATCCCTGTACCGTGCGCTCTCGGCTGGAGCAGCGATAATGCAGCACGAACGCCTGCTCAAAGTCTTGGTCATCGGTGATCTGGGAGTCGGAAAAACGTCCATCATAAAGCGCTACGTCCACCAGGTGTTCTCCCAGCACTACCGAGCCACCATCGGAGTGGACTTCGCCCTCAAAGTGCTCAACTGGGACCACAACACGGTGGTGCGGCTGCAGCTGTGGGACATCGCCGGTGCGTAAACGTGAAATAAGTCGCATGTGTCTGAGGAATAACTGATGTTTACTTCCTATCTGCGTAGTCAAACAGCACTTGAGTTGCTCAGGAGATAACAGGATGTGTAAACAGTGTCACGTCTGACAGGAAACTTAATCAGGACAGAAGTCTGTGCATGATCCGAAACAGTAAATTATGTGGTTTTATAGTCTTGAGTCTCTTAAAATAGAAGAATTTAAAATCAGTTTTTAAAAGTACATCATGTGTTTGGTAAATTAAGTGTCAAAACACGTGAATTAGTTGGAAAACAACCAAACATACTTACTAAATCCATGTATTTAAGTACAGCTTTGAAACTCTTCCAGTTTTTGCTGCTTTTCAGAGTAAGATGTTTGATTAAAGGCAGTGTTTAGGTGTGTAGGGTTTAATGGCATGTAGGTGGCGCTGCAGACTCTTACAGTCTGACTCACCAGATGTAGACTTCAGGTAGAAACCTTCCATTTCCTCCGTGACTCTATCCCTCTGCCTGCAGCCATGTTTAAAATCCTCTTTACTGCTGGAGCACCAACACACTCGCTGTAAATTCCACGTTTTGCAGAAGATTTAGATGGTGGAGTTTTTTACATTTTTATTTTTTGGGGGGTGAATTCCTGCCTGCACTGCCCCCTTCACTATTTTGCAGGGGAGCTGTCCTGCGTTTAGCACCACCCAACATGATTGTGATTGGTTTAAAGAAATACAAAACTGCTGATTGTTTTTGTCCTGCCAATAGCAGAATGACAATGAGGTGCAGTCGGACCATTCTCCACTGCTGCCGAGAGAGATCTGGCTTTGTGTGACTATAACTAAATCAATGCCTCTGTCTTCAACATGCCCTTCCCAGTGTATTGCAGAACCTAATGTGGCTGCGAAAAACATAAAACACCTTCTGGAGGTGTCGTTTGTTGTGTTTATTCTCAGCTTCCGTAGAAACATGGCGACGCAGGACTCTGTAGATGTAAAGAACTCATTCTAAGGCAACGAAAACACAACAGTTGTTATTTTCAGGTGATTATTCACACGAATTAAAACTCAATTCCTAATATAGGAATTAATTCTAATGTATTATTGATGCTTAAGATAGTCCACTCCACATAAAATGTTGGGAAAGTTCAGCGAAAGGTTCCTCCTCCACATTTTATGGCTGTTTGTCACTCATTCTCCTTCTGCAGTGGGAGAAGGTCAGTGAGCGTCTCTGGGTTTTGCTTAACTGTTAGACAGAGCTAATAATGAAGCAATCTGTCACTTCGGAGTATTTTTTTGCGTGTCATTCTTCCTCAAACTTACATCCACAAAAGAGACGAGATGCGGCCTGTAAAGCTGACCTCCCTCAGTTGTGGATGAGACAAACCTTCACACGAGAAAGCACAAAGTTAATATATGAAACGTGCAAAAGAGTAGCACACCTGGCATCTGCAGGAGTAAAACCAGTAAAATACAGATTTTAAAAGCCACAGAAATGCATCAACAATTAGAACCAAACTCTATATTGTGATGCTGCTTCTTCCTGATGAGACTTTAATCCTCAGTCTGCACGTCGTCGTGTTTCTCTGCTGTATCGTACTTTAGTAAATGATGTGAGTATTTCATATTTCACTGAGCAAAGGAGTAAAATCCGTCTTAGATCTTTAATTATGCCTGAAACAATGCTGTTAATGAGACAGTTCAATGTTCAGACTGGGTTTTATTTACAACAGGAAGGTTCGATCATTTAGGCCTGTAATTTACTGTTTATGAGGTTTGTTTATGAAAATGCAGAGTTTGTGGATTTTGTCCTACATGATTATCTCTGGGCTGCAAGGTGGCTCGGTGGTTAGCACCGTCGCCTCGCAGCTAGAAAGTCGCTGGTTTGCATCCCGGTGAGGACAGCCGGGATCTTTCTGCGTGGAGTCTCCATGTTCTCCCCGTGCAGTGTGGGTTCTCTCCGGGTTCTCCGGCTTCTTCCCACAGTCCAGAAACATGTTGAGGTTAATTGGTGATTGTAAATTGTCTGTAGGTGTGAATGTGAGTGTGCTTGGTTGTCTGTCTCTAAGTGTAGCCCTGTGATAGACTGGTGACCTGTCCAGGTGAACCTGCCTTCACCCTGAGTCAGCTGGGATAGACTCCAGCCCCCCATGACCCTAGTGAGGATTAAGCGGTGTATAGATGATGGATGGATGCACAGCTGGACGACTGGGAGATAATAGTTTGTATTTTACATGATATTGTCTAGCTGGTAAATGTAGCCAACAACACATATTAACATAATGTAGCATGAAATGGAAATATTCAAATAAAGTCAGTTACATTCCACGGGTTGGCCGATTTAACACTAAAGACTGAATCTATCTGAAAGCACTTGTAAATGTAAAATTCTTAGTAACGATTAGATGCAGCAAATTTGTGGCGGTTAACTGATGCAGCCAAGAAGCAAACCCTCGAGCACAAAAATAGCAGTTTGCATTTTCACACCCGTCGGCTGCGTTTTGCTGATGCATCCAACAATGAGGATGTACGTTCAGAGAAGTCATCGCCTTGGAGATGTGGTGCATTTCTGCAGAAGTGCATTAAAGAACAAGCTCTTTGTTTTTAGCTCGTAAAACGATCCCATCACTTTAACTGTGTGTAATTTGGTTTTTGGAAGCGTTTTTCCTCCTTGTTTCCCCGCCGTCTGTCACACTCTGTATAACACACTGGTCTGCCTGTGCTGAGTGATGCCTGATAAGAGTCGTCATTTACATGAAGGAAGCGGCCTTCAGACTGGTAACCAGTGACAACTTCACACTGGGAGCCACACAGAGCTGGCAGCTCATCCTCGTCAGTGTGTGAGGGTGATAATTGCATCACTGTTGTGTGTGAGTGAGGAGGTGTTGTTGTGGATCGAGTGGTGCTGATCCTTCTGACAACAAGATTCGTGGGAGAGCTTTCATGTCATAACGACGGTAGTTTTGAAAAACTATCAGTTCTGATAAGCACGTGTTTCTGTTAGCTTTGGATGCAGTCAGGTTTGCTCAGTCTTTATGCTAAGCTAAGCTATGCTAAGTAACCGTAGCTCCATATAGACCAAAGAGTGGTGTCAATCTTCTCAGAAACAAGAAAACAAATCCACATATTTTCCTCCCAATGTCAAACTATTTGTGGAAGTTGATTTATGTGAACCACAGGCAACATTTCCTGCATGAATCATGTGGAAAACCTTGAAGACACGTAGCGATGGAAACCACAGCTTCCATGTTTTCAGGCTGCAGGACAGACGTCGCTCTGACCGTGACAGCACAGAGCGGTCACTGCTGAAAGACAAAGATCACATCTGTCGTTAGGAGACGTCGCTCAGGCCGCTCGTGTGTCCAGTTCTGTGTATCAGCTGTTTGTCGTGCTGCATAAGTCATGTGCGGGGTGTGTGTGTGTGTGTGTGTGTGTGTGTGTGTGTGTGTAGGTGTGTGTGTGTGTTTATCAGATGCTCACTTGCTGATTCACCACTATATTAAGATCATGTGGAGGAAGTTAGTTACCAGGATAGAGACTTATTCTGTTGCACAAAGGCAGCAGTGATCACACACACACACACACACACACACACACACATGCAACAACAGATGTATTTTTCTGAGCGCATGCACTCAACATTTAACTAAATTCGATCAGTTTGTGGTCATTTTAGAAGTCATGGTACAAGTCAGCAGAGTGAAAAACATCTGCAGTAGCGTCCCTCGTTAAAGAATGTCCTCATTACACTGAATTAAATGTTGTATTTTATCAAATTAGGAGTTTAATTTGAATTAAAAATGTCATAAAGTGTATTATAAACAGAAACCCAGTGGCCATGTGCAGCACACAGACGTTAGAGCCGATTCAGTGAATAAGCAATTTGATTTCTTGGGTAATTTGCAGATTTCTTCGCATTATGGGTCAAATAAAGCGAGCAGTTTGTAAACTTAAGCCTCTGGTATCAGAGTTATTGAGAACATTTTAACACAGTTCACTGTAATGTTACAGATAAAGTCATTATGAGGAGCAGCCCAGGCATCGTCTGCCTCAGTTTCAAGTGCAAACAGAACTGCAGAGGTTTACCAAAGCAGTCAGAGGTGAGCTGGTGTGCTCGAGTGGCAGAATTTCTGGTAAAGAGAGAAACACAGGAACAAGACTTTAGCACATTTTAAGACAGGAAGGAATCATCTAACTGGACATCACACCCATCCTGGCCTCCCTCCACTGGCTGACTGTGCACTTTAGGCTTCATTTTAAGATTCTTGTATTTATTTTTAAATCTTTAAATGGCCCCGCCCTGCCCTACCTCTCTAACCTTCTTCAGCCCTACGCCCTGCACGGTACCTCCGGTCAGCTGATCAGCTGCTCCTTGAGGTACCGAGGTCCAAGCGAACGCTCAGAGGGGACCGAGCGTTCTCTGTTGCTGCTCCTCAAATGTGGAATGACCTACCTTTGTACATCAGACAGGCCTCCTCACTGTCTGCTTTTAAAACCAATCTTAAAACCCACTCTTATTCACTGGCTTTAACCCAGCATGAGTCGTTTTTATTTGTTCTTTGCTGTTTTTATTGTTGTTTCTTGTGACCCCCACATGTGCAGCACTTTGTTTCAGCTGTGGCTGTTCTAAAGCGCTCGATCAATAAAGTTGATTTGATTTGATCCTCATTGAACAACGTCTGAAGTTTTAGGAGTTAAATCAGCAGCAGGAGGAGGACTGGAGATGAAATCCCTTCAAGAGCTGACCAGGACTCTGTCAGAGGACTCCCCACGTGTTGAGAGAAGGCGCCTTTGTCTCTATTTTAAGTTTGTCTTTAATGAAGTTTAGCTCAGATTTAAGTATAATTTCAGGTATTTCGTCAGGTTGTTTGAAGCCTTTGATGGGCTCTGGTGTCGCCACACAGTCACGGCATGTGACTTTATGAAAAGGTTTCACAACTAAGTCCTTGAACTCGTCTCCTTCAGCTTTCTCTTGATCAAGTGTCACATAAAATAAACAGGATTTACTCTGGTTTTGTCTTCTGTTTTCATTAAAAAAGGGCAGGAACGATATGGCAACATGACCCGAGTGTACTACAGGGAGGCGGTGGGGGCGCTGGTGGTCTTCGACATGACCAGATCGTCCACATTTCAGGCCGTCCTCAAGTGGAAGGGGGACCTGGACTCTAAGGTAATCTGATGTGAAACAGAAGTGGAGCAGAGGAGGTTGATGCACTCTTAGTTAATGTGTATTTTCTTTTTTAGTGAGTTTAAAAGAATAATCGATGAGTTAGCTTGAGTTGATTTGTTTGCATATTTTCCCCCGTGCAGAGTTTTCTTACGCAACCTTAAAAGGTAAACGTCAGGATGAGATATGGACGTGAGTCAAGTTGAGAAAACGCATAACTTCACTTTATAAACTCCTCCAGGAAAACTTTCCATGCAGCAGCTGTTAAAGTGTGACAGAAGTGGTGTCACTGCATAGAAATATGTGTAAATAAAACATTAAATAAACATTCAAGTGCAGCTACGAACACAGTCCAGCCTTCGTTCGGACACTTTTCCAGGTTTGTCACGAGGACGCTGCCCTCAGATAAACAGCTCAGCAGCACAAACAGGTTTTTATCTTATCTGAGTTCACAGTTTGAGATGTGACATGTCGCTGGGACAGAATGACAGAAACTTAACCACAACAAGGAACTTGTTAAAAAAAAAAAAAAGAAAAAAGAATTGCTTATTTCGTAACAAGAAGTTGAAGAGCAGCATTTAGATTCGTACCTCTTTCTGTTTTAATTGTGCAGCACTTCAGTATAACTCGTGTTTGACTCGACTCTCTCTGTGTGTTTTATCTTGATTAATGAGCCTAATTAACCTAAAAGAATTCTAATTCAACATAAAAGGCTAGTATTTGCATGATATTAAATCATTTTAGCCCTTTTAACAGATTTTTTCTAAATTAC